GAAGAACTAACGTGCCTACCCATGGATGAAAAATTTTCAAGCTAAAACACAAACCCAACAGAGAATTAGAGGAAAATGAAGAACCTTTCAAGATTAACCCAGAAAAAGCCCTAGCCGTATCCAAACCCTACTGGAGTTATCGCCGAGATCTGAATCGCCGAGCAAAAGTGTCTAGACTGGCAAACAAAAATATTTTTCGATTTGATTTCCTTTTTTGTTTTGTGTTACGCCGCTCTTTAGCCGGCACGATTTCCTTTTATTTATTCTTAAAAACGGCACGGTGTGTAAATCAATCCTAAGTTTAGTGGTTGGGTCGATCAGAGAAAAGGAAATTTAAGACTAATGGGCTAAGGCCCAACTTTAGATAACGATTTATTTCAAACGTTATCTTAATAAACTTGAGCCCAACAGTCCAAATTCGAAAAGTAAAGGGAATATTTTGCAAATTACAATACGACGCATATTTCGAGGAAATTACTAACTTCAAGAAAGATGCCCTGGCTCGTGGCATATGCCCTCTGCAAATTCCAAAATTTTTAATTTTTAGTACCAAATTAAGAGTTTGATTCTCATGCTAACACAACACACACCAAATGTTGACCGGAAAAAAAGACACGAAATCGACGTATGTTTTCGTAAAATATTTTTTACTCAAATACAAAAGCTTCCGATACATAATGAGCCTCTTACTAGAAGAATCAAGTGTTTGTGTTTTTAACGTTTAATAATTAATTTTTTTTGTTAACTAACGATTAAACTTAAAAAATGAGAAGTGGCGATTAGAATTGCTAAACCAACAAAAATAATAATTACGATTAAAAAGTGTATCATTTTCTGACAAAATCAAAGGACATTATTTTGAACAAGTCTCAAACGGGTCATTGATTATAGTATTAGATCTTGACTCTAGTAAAAAAGTAATCAAAATGTTTTACACATTGTTTAATCATTTGATTTAAAGCAAGAACTATGCCGAGTAGACTTTTGGACGAGACGTATGATCGTACTCAATGAATCCTTAAAGATTTTTATATCGTAATTTCTGTAAAATTATGGTTAGAAAAATTATGGCTTTATTTTTCATTTAAGAAAACAAATTAAAGGATGCATGAAAAATATGCTAAGGAAAGACAAGGAATAGGTCCCACGTAAGTAAACGATAAGACAACTGTATTGTCTACTTCTAATATATTCCAT